GCGCCCCAGCCCAGCTGCTGAGAGCGCTGGGGAGACTGAGCTGCGGGAGGAGAACCCAGCTGCCCGGAGGGGTGGGCAGAAGCCTTCGCCTAGCCAAGAAGGGTGCCTCCTGGGCCAGCTCCGGGGCCTGCCAGGTTCTGCACAACTGAACCCCCTTTAAAGCTCGCCACCTTTGCGTCCTCTCCCGAGCTTGCGCCCACCGGCCGCGGAGGCACCGAGAGGCAACTAGCGCTCCCAGGACAGAGGCATCTGGCTCTAGGGACCCTCCTACGTCTGGTCTGCAGTTCGGCAAGGGAAGGTTGCTAGAGACTTGGGCCTGTCTGCACTCCTACAGCTGGGCCCTAAAGAACCGTCCAAACTCCGCACCTCAACCCGGACCTAGGCTTCACTGGGCCTCCAGGCTCCCAGGTCGGGACTCCAGACTAGCCCTGCCACGTACCAACACGCTTGGACTGGAACCTGGGGGCCTGGGCAGAGGGAGCATGGGAAACTCAAGAGCCGGGAATCAGAGGCACTATGGGCTCGAAACAACCAGCACCCACACAGCTGCAGCAGGGCTTCTCCAACTCCTGGGCTGGAGCCCCACTCTCTTCCCAGACCCCAGAGCCCGGTAACAGCCCCACTGGTGGAGTTTACCACCTTCACCTCACCCGCAGGACTGGGTGTCTTGCCCTCTAGGCCTCCAGCGGGGTGGAGAGGGAAGGAGCTGCCCTGGGAGCGACTGGGGGAGGGGAGCCCCCACACCCCGCCCTGATGGAGGAGACCTCTGTCTTGGCTAAGCCGAAAGGGGCCTCCTTCTCCTCAAGCAACCAGGAGAAGCCTCCGCCCCTCTCTGCTCAGCCCAGCCCCTCTCTCTGGGGTCAGAGCCCGGGCAGGGGAGGGGAGGGAGGTGTGAGTTACAGGATTTGGGGGGATGGGGTTTCTCTACCTCAACTTCACAAACTCGAGCGGGCTGTTCTGAAGCGCCCAGCTCCTGTTTTTCCAGGAGCTAGAACAGCAGAGCAAACGCCCTCCCCTCTCAGGTTGCCAGGCGCAGAGGGGGGCACAGTTGCCTTAGTTCCCTGGGGTTTTTCCTTGCTACCATGGTGGCCTGGTCAGAGCTGATGCCCTCCCCTGACCCATTGGTCTTCGAATCCCCAGCCCCACATGAGAAAGACTAGAAGCACTTACTGTTCTGCATGCTGGCGCTGGCTGTGGGGCGCGGGATCCCACGGGGCTCGAATATGGGATTCTGTTAGCAAGAACATAGGCATTAATCCTGGGCCGGGTAGGCCTACCTCTGGATGGAGGATGACCTGGAGCCAGGACAGGAGACTGCCCGCGTTCTTTAGGGAATAATCCACCCAATTGCTTAGGGCCATCCAGCTCTACCTTCCAGGCATGAAAAAATCCAGTATTCCCAATCTGTATCTTCCAAATCTCTAAGTATTAAACCCTTTAATCAGAAGAAAGGATGACCCTATTTTGAATTTTTTTCTTCCATCTGAACAACAATGAAGAAGCATTCTGAATCTTTAGGGTTTGGGATCCCAAAGCAGCTTTCAAGCCACAGCAGAACTTGCCTGAAATCTGGGATGTCTGTCCACTCTTACAATAAAAGGTCTCACACATCTGCGCACCCCTAGTTAAGGTCTTCCCCCTAAGATAAAACAGAAGGAGAGAAAGGTATGTCAAATTGTGGCTCAAAAGCAAAGGCCCATGGCTCTCTGAGCCATACTCTCAGAAAACAAAACAAAACAAAAATACTCATCTAGGGCTCAAACTGCCATAAAACCCTAAATCTCAAAGCTGCACCCACGTTTTCAGCGGCCTCTCCCGCAGAAGTCTCCATCTTTTAGAAGTGACTGCTCTGGCCTGGCTTGGGAGAACTGGAGAATATGACAAGTCAGGCCCCATTTTGCAAAAATATCAAGAGCCAATGAAAAGAAAGGGAAAGAACAAGAGAAACAGTGGAATAGGGGGTAGGGGAGTATACGCGAAGTTTAGAGGTGAGGCGAAGAGGACCTCAGAACTTCAGAGTGCCTGAGAGTGCAGGCTGGGGCTGGTCAGGAGGGCTGCAGAGCCATACTCTCCTGGAGGAATTTTACCACCCCAGCCTCCTAAGGCCCCCAGAACCCAACTCTCTGGTTACCACTTTATCCTTTACTTTCCCCTTCAAAGCTTCCCAGTCAGGCCCTTACTCCACCCATCTCCCAGCCTTTCTTGGACTTTGAATGTGGTGAGCCCAACTTTTTCCCCCAAACCTCACTTATTGTGATTAACTTTTCTTTTGGTGTTTAGATCGTCCCTCCTTTTACTGTACTGTGACACACGCTGTCTACCTCGCCTCACTGCTTTAAAAAGTAGGAACAGGAGGGGGTGAGCGTGGTCGACAAAGCCTACAGACAGTGAACAATGGCTTCTATTCTCCAGCTCTCCCCAAACCCAAAGAGCAAAACGGGCTCTCCCTAACCAGCAACACAGCTTCCAACCACACGTACCAACAACCCACCAACTCACAAAGGGAACAGAGGGACACTTCTTGCATTGTCAATCCTGATCTAGTGCTGTCTCCCCAAGATTCATCCTCCACTACCCCTCCCTACCTTCCCCTAAGAAGATTTTGGGGGAGGGGAGAGAAAATAGAAAAGTAATTTCTTGTTATAAATATCTGGAGGTAATTGTGTTACTGGTGTGAGTTGTTAGGGGCCGTAAAAAGATACAACGGCACCGTAGGGTGCTCAATTGGGAAGAGAGAATTACAATAAAGAGTCCATTCAAAAGGTTTGGGCAGAAAAAAAAAGTAAAATAATTAAATAGTCACAGCATCATTTCTCCCTGTTAAAAAAAACAAAACCTAAAATACTCTTTCTTTTTCCTGTTTTGCCTATGGTGATTATTAATTTTGCCTGCCTGCAAGCAAGGAATTCCAAGAAGCACATTTTCCCCCTCCAAAGCTATTCATGGTCTAATTTATTACCTAGCTGGGAGGCAGCTTAAATCCATAAAAAATAAACTTAAGTGGAACACTTCTTCCCAGCTTCCAAATTTGGCCTGGTAAATATTGGAGATGGCAGAGGGCTACCTAGTTATGCCTAGCTGCACTGGCTCTCAAGGCCTCCCGCCTCTCAGTCCCCTTGACCACGGTCATGCCCCCACCAGGCAGAAACCCCAACTTGGATCAGAATGTGTGTCCCCCCCAACACACACACACACACACACACACACACCCTCAAAGTGGGACTCTGAAAAGGCAAAGGTAGCAGGCGGGAGAGGAGTAGCGGAATACTCCTGAAGGGGGAAAACTTCCTAACTCCTTTCCGTACCACTCTGTACTCAACCACCAGTGAATGCCCCCATCCCAGCAGGTACATTCTTGATGCTATTTTTAAAGAATTCAGTAGCTGATTACAGAGAGGCCTAACCAATTAATTTTCGAAGCATCTGGGAAAGCATTTCAAATTCCGGTTCTACTCCATCCCCACCCCCTCTCAGCTTAGAATCTATCTAATTGCTTAAGTAGTCGCTAAAGTGCAAAAGCAATCCGAGAGGCCAGGCACACCGACACCCGGAAGCAAACACGCCGGGAGAGTTGAGAATCCCGAGCCACAGCCACAGCCCCCTCCCTCCAAGCTCAGCCTTGGGCTTCCTAAAGCCCTAGACAGGTCAGAGACCTGCATCAGGAATCAAGGAGTTTCCAGACATTTGGAAGTCGCCAGGGCCTTGTCCACTAGGCCACTGGGCCACTGACTCCCTGACACAAGCCTCCGCTTTCAAATACTGATGTTTTAAATTACTTAATTCTAAAATCCAACCCCAAATTCCTTAGCTGGGGTGAAGGGGAGAGCTTACTTTTGTCCCTCCCGGCCCCCAGCCAAAAAGTAATTAGCAATTAAAATGACAAAGTTTTACTCTCTAGGGCCAAATAAGATAACTAATCAAATCGCCTTCAGACGTTTGCAAAGGTCACTGGCTATAAAAAATGTAATGTCAATGGCAACAACTATTATTTCTCCTCGGTAAACTCGCCAAGCTTTTAAGCTCTTTATTTTTTATTTCATTTTCTGCTCCCGCCCCTCCTCGACCTTCCCAAGTTCGAGTTAAACATCCAAAATGGCTTAAGGAGCTGTGCAGAGTATGAGAGAAAAAGATCCCACGTTCACGTTGTTTTTAAACTTTGTAGAAATCACTCGAGACTGAAGGGCCAGGTTTTAGCACTCAAAAAAAAAAAAAAAAAGACAGAGAGAGAGAGAGAGAGAGAGCGCATTTCCACTTGAAATTCAACTCCATTTTCCCCAATTACACTTGCTAAAATTCGGGCCTATCATGGGACACAGAGACGGAGAAAATCTGCACACAGAAAGAGGCAACAACTTCATGAACTTTGAAAAGACACTTTTCCTCCTGGGGTCTTAGAATCAATCGAAAAGCTCTCAAATTACTCAGACTAATTGGCTGGGAGAGGATGTGATCAGACGAAGGGGAAAGCCAGTGCTTTCATACTGATTTTTTAAAAAGCCTCATAAAGAAAAAATTCAGGGAATTTAGATGTTTTTTAAAAAGCAATCCAATCCACTTTTCCACCTCGAAACTTGTTGAAATGGCAACACCGAGCGCAGCATTGTCAGAGGAAGACAAGGAAAAATACCCACCGAGCGCTGGGGGCTGGAGGACAAGGAAGACCCCAGCTTTCGCAGGGCGAGTGCGAAGGTTGGGGGAAGCGTGGGGAGTAGAGAGTTTTCAAGTTCCGAGCTCTGCACTCAAGTTGAGGGCGAGAGCCTGAGGGCTTGAAGGAAGCTGACAATCCTGGGCTCGGCTCAGAGCTCCCTCGGAGCGCGCGTTCGGCCGCTTTGGCCTGGTGGCTTCCTTCCCAGCTCCCGCTCACACTCCCTTTCTCTCCGCATCCAGTGTGCCGTTGCCTTGCCGATTGACTCTGCTCCAGCGGACGGCGGGCGCGGTGCCCCTCGGCGCTTGAGTGCCAGCGGACTTGTGTGCCCGGGCCGAACACGGCACAAAGGCGGAGGGCG